TCACAGCCTAGACAATGCAGGTTTATCCAGTGTTATGATAAGATTAGATAAACTGTGGCACCCAAAAGCTAGGAAAGTGAACACCCTGGCCACATCTCATTTGGATGTCAGCATAAGGTCAGCACCACCCTTTGATAGGTGCCCTGATTTCCATAGGAAGGAAACCTAGGTACACAGTTATGGAGCATTCCAGCAAGTCTGCTTACCAGGAGGACAGCAAAATGGGGACTGGAGGCAGGCAGAACTTTGGAGCTACGTGCAAAGAAAGGGGCATGGATTGCTGCAACTAAAGCAAATACTGGGTCTTCAGTGCAGTTGTTACAGGTTTATTGGGAAATTCACTTGAAACTCCAATAGTATGTCTTAAAGCTATTAACAAGTTGGTTATATAGTGTATGCTGCTCTTTCTGTGGCAGAAAAGACTTTTATTGCATATTTTTCTTTATTAGTACATAGATTCAACAGAACTTGAACGTTCTACAGAAGTGGAGAACTCGGTGAAATATCACCAGGCATGGCACAAACTGTGCAAAGCAGAGTAAGTGGCATCGGGTATTCTGTATCCCAAATGCAGACCATTATATTTATTTCATGTGATAAAAAATGCTTCGGTAAATCAGTTCTTAGTACTTCCGTTACTTATGTAAAGGGATAGGTGTGCATGGTTAGTGACAAGCTTCAGACATAGCAAATTATTGTATCAACCTATATGCTCAAACTCTGCTTTCATCTCTTTAGACAAGTTGCATTTGTTTGGTTATTGTTTTTTTGTTTTTTTTTTTTTTAACAGTTAGACTTTCTTTACGCTGCAGGTCAGTTGTCAAAAATTTTTGTTGGCCAACATGCATCATAGTGAAAGGTAGTTAGATAAAAGCTTAGTAAATGCTGGTGACACTCTGCAAACATCTCTGTTAAGAATCACTGCCAGGATTTCGATTTGTATTTGTAAAAGTATGTTGTCAAAATACATTTAATTTCTTCAGTATTACTTAGTAGTCATAAAGTTTTGGAGTTAAGATCCTAGAGTAGTGAGTATGTAGCTAGTTTGTTTAAGCAATATGTATTTAAGCAGTGGGATTTTCACTGTGAAGCATGAGGTTGGTCAGATGAGGGTTGGGGTGGGTAGATGAGACAAATCTCCGAATTTAGAGTTAAATGATACATATTCTGCATGGTCATACAAAAATGTTTTTTGTGCATTGTGCTTGCTTTGTTACAACCTCAAAAGTCTTTCTTCAATTTGTATGGATTTCCTTTGCCTGCTTGATTCTACATGTTGGTTGCTTTATATATGGCTGTCATTACAGTGGCATTCTGGTCCCAGGAGGGTTTGGAATCAGGGGAACAGAAGGCAAACTGCAAGCTATCTCCTGGGCAAGAACAAAGAAAAAACCTTTTCTTGGTAAGATTGTTAGAGCGAGAAATTAGTGTGTTTTGGAGGTGTGTAGCAAGCTAATTGATAGCAAACTAATTGATTTGATTAAAAAAACCCCAAACAAACACATGCTAGAGAAGAATCCTGTCTAGGGAAGTAGTGTGCTGTTGTGAATACTTTACTTGTAAATGATGCCCAGCGTCATAGTCGTGTACTACATCTGCTGTATAATGAAGGAGGAAAAAGACTATCCCTACTCCACAGATTTTATTTGCTACATTATTTGTCACATTTTATGTGAGGATTCTTTGCTTCTCATTGCAATTAAATTAGCATCATTATGAATATTAATCGGTATGCAGAAAACATAGATGTCTTTGGACGCATTTGCTATATTTAATAATTTTTGTTGGTTTACTGATGTATTTTGTTATGGTAAATTCTGAAGATGCCATCTGGCCTATAAGCTAAGTGCTGTTTGTCTAAGTGCCTCTGAAGCTTTGGTTCTTACTCCACATTTCTTACAATTTTATAAGTGACTGCTTCGACTAGTTGCCAAAGCAAAATTTAAATCTGGGTATACCCAGGCTTTCAGCTTCTGTTTGTCTTTACAGTAATTGTTGGTAAAATAGATGGGAGGGAAAAAAAATTTTTGAAAGGGCTTAAAGCACCTAATTGTGTCACATGTATTCACAGTGTGCCAAGTTTGAAAAGTGAGTTTTACATTGAGCAGCCATTTTTGTTTTAGCTTTTTGGTAAGTCTGTTTATATACAGTGGGTACCAAGATTTCTAAGCGGTCACATTTAAGACAGAACAGCAAGTACTTTGTCTTTCCTGCTCTTCGTCCTGTTCAATTCTGGTGGTTTTGTTTTCTTTTCTAGGAGTTTGCCTGGGAATGCAATTAGCAGTTGTGGAATTTGCAAGAAACTGTTTGAATTGGAAAGGTGAGCTTAGTATGCTAATGTGAATATGATTTGCTTAGAAGAAATGTTGTTCTACATGTTTTTGTTATATCTATTATTAGAACTATTATATAGATCCTATGATCATTAGGTACTTAGCTCTTGCAACATGATCATTGTCAGCCAAGCACCCTGTGCTACCTTTCTGTACAAGGGAGCAGGAACTCTTATTATGCAGATTGCTTGGAACCTGCTGCTTGATCTAATGAGTGTAGGAGAAAGTGTGCTTACAGTTCACCTCTGTAGTCTCTTTCTGGAGTGTGCAGGTGGTGAGGAGTAAAAAGTGAGAAGTGGTTTTCTCACTTGCTTTCATCAGTTGGAGTAGCCGAACCATAGCCATTGCAGTGGTAGTATGAAGACGTTTAGCTCACCAATGAATTTCTACCACTAAGAGCTTAGAGGAAAAAATTTTGGGAAGTAGGAAAGGGAGTGTGTGTCTGAGGTCCTGTGCTTCCTGTGATTGTTTCAAAAGTGCTATAGAATGTGTTTCAACATATAAGATTGTAGCTTAAATGCAGATAAGCCCTAAAATGCCACAGGACTGTTATGATGAGTTTGTAGTGCATGTAGAACAACGGAAATGTACTGTGTTTGTTTTGAACTTCTGTTTCAGATGCAAATTCTACAGAATTTGACCCAGACACAAAAAACCCTGTTGTAAGTACTGATTTTTATTTTCCTGCATATGTTTTGTGAACATACGTCTTATGTTAAAAAGAGAGTTTCCTCTGTGTAAGTTAAGATCTGTCTATATTTTTACATAGTAGGACATGAAGAGGTGTCTGCTGTCCCTATTCAGTATTGTTTAAAAAGGTATTTTCTTTTAATAGTCCCTTGCCTTCACCTACTCGCTTCTGTGATTTGCCTTAGCTTTGTAATTTTTCTAATAGTTTCCTTGGCTGTAGACTGACACTGGGAGTAGACAATAATGATTAGACTGGCTTTACTAGAGCTGTGTAGCACACAGCTATTATCAAAATACAAATTTATGTAAAAAGATAAGGATTATATGGAAACCTGTTGAAAAATTCTTGTCTTTTCTTTATATAAATACTGTGAATAACCACTAGATACCTCCTCCCCCATGCATCTCTCAGTCCTTTTGAGAAAAATTTCAATGCTCTGGGTATGACAGGGCCCTCTGTATCATATGCCAATGGTGGAATTTTAGAGTGGAATTCTTCCAGGTATCTCCTAGTTCAGGAGACTGTGGTATCACATTGTCATAATAGTAAAACTTAAAGTGATCAGTAAGAGGGTTTTTTAAAAAAAATGAAAAAGAACAGAAATACATGTGAGAAATAAAGAACTATCTTGGTGTAAGATGTAAACATCCATTCTAATGTTAAGTGGGTTGCTCATAGTGACCTACTTTTCTTTATCAATTTCCTTCAAATAAGTTTTGTTGGGAGTTGTAAGCAGAATATATTTTTTTCCATATCTGCTTAGTCTGAAACATACAAATAGGAGGTTTTTAAAGCGTTTGACCTGTTTGTCAGGGTTGTTTATATGCATAGGAGAGATAATCTAGTCTGAACTGTTGAAGGTGAATTAGACACCTTCAGAGTTTCAGTGTGAGACTTGCTGTTGAAACTTGGTGGCTTTTGGAAACGTCCTCAGGTGAACAAAGGTAGACTTTGCATTTGGTATCAAATTTGTGGGCTTGCAATCGTTAAGAGGTCTCTTCCTTCACCCTTCTTGAATGTATGTGAAGACATACTCTTTTACTGGAGGGGTCAATTTCAAGATAGCAATATGTTGTAAAATGCATGTGGAAGGTGTTGAAAGCTTACTGTAAATTTTTTGGGAAGCAAGAGGGATAGTATGGAAGACTGATTCTGGGAAGACAACATCTTTGTTTCTAGGGCTTTTTAGTGCCAGCTTTATTTAACTTCTCATGACTGCATTTCAGCTAGTCACCTCAGGTACCTTTTCAGGATGCAGTCAGATCATCAGGAGGGGGAGAGTCACCCTTTCGAACTACTGATATCTCTCCATTATTCTAAGGGTTGTTCACAGCAGCTGGCCCTGTTGCAGAGCTCCACACTTAGCTGAAGTCAGGAACACAGATACTTGTCCGCTGCAGCCCTACTGGCAGTTTCTTTTACAGAAACTGTAGCGTGTGTTAGTACGGTATCTTTAGGACAAAATTTTATTCCATGAGTAATTAACTGAGTGATTTGCAGTTTGCATTCAAAGGCAAGTAAGGTAGCTATGTTAAAGAGAAAATTATGTGGACATTAAGAAAATAATGGAGTGAATGTGTGTGTCATAGAAGAATAATACAGTGTCTACAATTGAAGCAGTATGCTTACAGTATGTGTAATGGATATTCTTTTGTTCTGAGCTATATTAAGGTTCTGAAATTGGCTATTACCATTCATATTTCAGCATCTTAATCTGATCTTTGACATCTCAGTTCTGGGTGAGAAACAGGTGTAAATCATTCCAAGGGGGAAATTTCCACTATCAATAATTATAACTGCTAAATAATCTGTCTTAGCAGAATCCGTCTTGTGCTAAAAACTGTTTAGGTATTATATATAGTAACAAATTAATGGTGACGATTGGAAGAGAAGCAGCTTAGTGAAGCTTGTGAACTACCGGACTGATGTAGATGTTTCATTATCTAAGAAAGTTAATTGGAATCACCGTATCAGCACTGATAATATCTTGTGATGCCACTGTGTGGTTCAACACAGTGCTAACTTAGGACCAGAGCAGTGTACTTTTCTTTTGGTTCCTGCTCCTTTGGAAACTGAAGAGGGAGAAGAAAGGCATTGGTGAGGGAGTAGTTCTATTTCCTTTTAGTTTTAAGAAAAAGGAAAAAAGACAGAAGTTCAAGTATGTAGTTTGGCAGGGGGACTCCAGGGGAACCATAAAATATGCAGCTACTTACATCCCTTCTTAACTTGCTAAGCATTCAAATGCTCGGAACTGTACTCAGCAAAGTTGATTGTTTCTTCTAAAGTACACATAAAATATCTTGGTCTACTTTACTTCTCTTTTGTCTGCATCTATGGAAATTTAAAACTTTTTTATTAGAAATAAAACCTGAGATTATCAAGTAGTCATGCAACTCAGAATTAGCTTCTAAATGAAAAGCAGGTGGCTGAAATAATGAGATGTGATATTACTGGCAATTAAAATAACACAAGTTATTGTACTATAAAAGAGCATTGTCTGCATATTAATAAAAAGTTTTGAGCATCATATAACGTTTTTATTTGATGAAGCAATTGTGACTTCTTCTGTTTTGAACAATAACAAATGCACAACTGAACGTGCAAGTGTAGAGAGTTGCCTGTAGTGCTGAATATCTGTTTCATTTTAGCTGTTCATCTGTTTCTACTATTATTACAACAATGTTGCTCAACCTAGGTTCTGCAAAAACATCCGTGGGTAACTTTATACAGGAGGTCACCCCTGTATAACCATGTATTGCTTGTTTTGGGGAATACCAGTATCAATTATATTGGTGTGTAAATGACGACAAGTATTGTAGAGTTAAGTTTTCAAATACCTTGGAAAAAAATAATAGTCTGTGCATACAAAAAGTGAAAGTTAATGACTTAATAATGTAAAACAGACAAAATTGTGTTTTTAAAATACTGTAGGGGAAAAAAAAAATCTTAAAGTTAAGTATCTATGTGATGAAAAGTTAAAAGGAAATGAGAGCTAGAATTTGAAAGTATTAATAAGCTGTGATTTACAAGCTGTGTTTGAGAGATTTGAAGTTGCTATTAGATATTTTCATTCAGGCTTAAATTAAAAATGTGTACTCTGAAGCAAAAAAACCCCAAACACCTCTGACACGGCAGTTATCTGTATTCACCAGACCATACCATTTACACTGTCAAAATACCACTTTAAGGTTTTGGCTTCGGTTCCTCTTTAAGACCTGTTTGATTTCAGTAGGGAAAATGAGGGACATACATGAGCAGTGATCACAGTCCCTCAAGTTCTTGATCTTGCCTTGGTTGATTGTTTGCAGGTTATGTTCCCATTGTATATTCTGAAGCTTTCCACTTTACTTTCTAGCCTGTTGGATAATAAATATAGGCAAATTGTTACTGTTCTTTGCAGGAAGATCACTGTTCAGAGAAGTAATGCATTTGCTTGAGAGTAGTGCTTCATATGAGTTTTCTGTTAAAAATGATAGTTTTAAAATTAACTCTTTTAAAGGGAAACTGTATAGTCTGTGGACTGCTAATGAACTGGATTCACTGGATGGCAAAAGAATTATTTGTTTTGTTCCATTTCCCTTGTCTTCGTCTACTATTAAACCTAGATTAATTTTTTTGAATGACCCTTTTAATTATGTTCTTTGTCAATTTTACTGCAACTGCATCTAATACTGTTCTAGGAAAGAAAAAAGACTTTACGTATTTCTAAGGACCCGCTTTTTAAAAAGAGAAAATAAAAAAGCTACTTTTAATTGTGACTGTTGTTTTTCATGACCTATTGCATCTTGGGTAGGATCATGAAACTTCAGATACTGCGCTGGGTAAGATAAATGCATTTTCTAGAAGCTCAAGAAATTGTGCAGAATAGATTTTGCCAGTAGGTGACGCTCTTATAACATGTTTGTTTCTTGATGGCCACTTTTCCTGCTTGAATTAAAAAATTTTAAGGTTGTCTAAGAGATGAAAAGGAACGTGTGTCCCACTTATGCAAAAGCACCTCTTAAAATTTTGTGAATTTACTTATGTGTGTAAAGTAGCTAATGTAGCTTAGTAAGCAAGTGTGTGTGGGGTGTATTTAGTTTTGAAATCAAAGCATATTGTTAATGTAGAATTATTTTTTTTTCATAAACCAGAAAAAAGTAATAAATATTATAATTTTCTTTTCTTCAAAGAAACATAAAATGTTTTAACAGCTGAAGGGTTCGTGTAAAAAGAATGGCCCAGGAACCTGTTAGAACATTTATATCATGTTTAAATATGGCACTTTTGGGGGCTTCTATTCATGCATCCCTGGTGTGAAGTACGTAATTCCTCAGTTCTTGGGGGGAAATTCAGGGATAGGAACCACTGTAGTATGGGATCTTGAATATTCTTGATAGGCTTTGTGATTAAGCTGAGCCTTTAAGTCCTTAAGTAAGTCTGAGATACAACTGAATTTTCAGGATAATGGATGACACTGCTGTTAAAATTCAGTCCAAAATTCCAAGCTCTCTAGTAGGATTAGTGCCTAATCCACTGAATTACTTGTCTTCAAAATTTCCATTCTTCTCATTTCTCTTCTTTTTCACTAGTTTCCTTTTAAAGTAAATAATAATGCCTATGAATTACATGTGTGAAAATACATATGTCTCAGGGAATCATGCAATGAAAAGGTTAAAACTGCACCAAATAAACGTAATGAATGTTTTAATTGCAACAGCAATCACTCAGTTCCTGTATATACATATGTAGTCCTATTTACAGGAGTCATCGCAAAAAAAGTACATACTTATGTAAATACAATTTCAAATGAACAGGTAATGGTACAATGTTCATACTTAGCATTGTTACATTGTTATTGAAAATAAGTACTTTATGTTTTAAAAATTACAACTGTTTACTGTATGGAAGTGGTGCCTTACGTGAATGATGAAACTGAACTGGGAGGAGTATTGGATAGTATACACTAGGGGACACCCTCAGATGGAATGATACAGCTTTCCTTTTGTGTGTTTTAGAAACCATTTGATT